AATGTTTTTATTTTTAAATACATTTTTTAGTTATTCCTGAAAATTTAATTGTTTTTGTTCTTTAACGATACAGGATCAAAAATATATTTTTAACATCAATTATATTTTAAAAAACCAGAAGAAATTAAGTATTATAAAATAATCATGAACAACTTCAATCATAAAACAGAAAATTTAAATTCTTAACTTTAAGAAATAGTTTTTCATTTTTCTTCTCTCTCAGCCAAATGCATGTTTTGGCAAGTTCTTATATTGACATGGTGCATTTCAACAAGTATATTTAACTTTATATGTAACTTGGCAAGTAAGTAGTTTGATGTATCAGAATTACTGCGTTTTCACAAACAAATGTGTATTTGCCAAGTTTTTAAATTGATTCAGTGTATTTCATCATGGGAATATACTTGTCACGGTACTTGGGAAGTAAGTACTTTAAAAAACTGTAATCCCTAACATTAAGAATTACTGTTGTCTTAACCAAATGCGTGTTTACCAAGTTTTTAGATTGGCTTGGTGTATTTCAATTAAGTACGTTGGTAAATCAGTAATTCTTAACTTTAAGAATTACTATTTTTCTGTTGTTACAACTAAATGCGAATCTAGCAAGTTTTTAAATAAATGCAAATAAATTTACACATTACTTGTCAAGTAAGTACTTTGATATAACAGTAATTCTTAACTTTATTTTATATTTTAAATGGTGTATTTCAATACGTAAATTTACTTGGAAAATAAGTATTTAAAAAAGAGTAAATTTACTAAAAATAAACTAAAATTAAATTTAACAATTATAAAAAAAATATTTTTATTGTATGCTTATTTATTAATATGAATTTATTGTTTTATAATTTAATTATAGAAACGAATTTATTGAATAAAATGTGTTCAAAAATTATTTACTCTGTATGTAATAACTGGATGAAACTGGATAAAAAAGTTTCATTTTATTTTTTTTTAAATAAAAGTTTAATTTTCCATAATTATTGATATGAAAATGTGAAGTAAAAAAATCTGATTTCATTTTAATACAAATGAGTAATAAGGGTGGAAAATGAATCACATAATTAAAAAAAAAAGTAAACTAAATAATATCGGTTCAGTGAAATGAAATAGATTGAAATCTTCTTGAAACATCAAACAAATTCATAATTTTATATCGCATCGAGTTTTATCATCCTTTCAATTTCTTAATTGAATTTACGTTATTTATATATCTCCGCAATGTCGAGAGGACTCCGTCTCTCAGACACATTTTCTCCCTCATACTACGTTTTCCCATAGTCCCACAGTTCTTTCCTTTAGAAGCATTTTCTTTCTGCCGGAGAGAGAATAAAACAATTTTATGAATAATTTATTGGCAATCGCCGCGACGGCCGTCCTCTTTCCACCGAATCCGGCGAAGGAAGAAAAAAAAGAAGAGAGGAAAAGAAGAAAAGAACATATTCGGGGCCTCCGGGAAAATTGCGCTACCGGAAAATTACTGGAATTGAAATCTCGCGCGCAAGGAAGGAGAATGGAAAGGTCGTCGAGGAAGGATAAGCGGACCGCAAAAATCAGATTTATAACTTAATAGACAATCATACAGGGGTTGGGGGTGAAATGAAGAAAGAAAAAAAATGTAAAGAAACGGACGGGAAATTGGAAGGAGAACAATTCAGATTTCTTACTGTATTCAATTGAAAATGATTTTATGTTGATGTATGTACAATCCCTTAAGAATTACATAGCAGTACATAGTAATGACAATAAGTAGTTAACGTTATGTAATCATAAAATAAAATACCTCGCATAGACCGGATTCACTGTAATTAATATGAAGTTTAATTCTAAAGTCTTCGATTAGTCCGGTTTAAAACAGTGCTGAATTTCTTTCTTCTTCAATTTTTCATTTACAGATATTTATATTGTATTCAGTTGTATTCAAATTTGAAATGATAAAATAAAAATAGCTGAAAACATATATCTTATTTTAAAAATTGAAAATTTAAGAGAATTATGATAATATATTATATAATTTTATGTATGGAACAACAAAAATAATGTTGGTGAAAGCATGTTTAGAATATATTTTGATTTCGTATTATATGGAGCAAAATTTAGTATCGATGCATGTACATACAGTAAACTCAAACTATAAACCACAATTTATAGCAGAATACACATACAACACATGCGAACTGGATCCACTAAGTAAACTTCGTTTAATAATCTCATAAGCCAGAAATAAGCCTACCCATAAATTATGTTCTAAGAATACGTTAAATTAAGAACATAATTGGAATATAGTTATTCTTGTTTATTGCTCTATGAAATTTATTATCAATTACATCTGAAAATTAGTTTGCTAATAAAATTGTTTAATTATAAAAATAATAATGGTTTTTGTAACTACAATTCAATTACATTTATATATTTTCATGTTCAATTCCGATTTTATTAGTGTTTGCAAGTTTGAAAACCCGGTTTTTTTGAAAAATTATATAAAGTGAAAACCGGGTAAAAAATTCATCTAAATATTATTTTTTTTTTGTAAATTTTCTAACAAAATATCGCAAGTAATTATTTGATTCAAGAAAATGTACATGCAAAATTACGATGTTTGTATGATTTCAAAAAATTAAGTTCTTATAAATGTTCTTGTAATTCACCAAATAAAAATTATATTTAAAAGAAAAAAAATATTTAATTCAATAACTTTACAGGCAAAATTCAGAGATTTTTGTTAACAATTTAGTTAGTAAATATTCCATGACTAATTTTTGATATTCTTTCATTAAATTAAACTTTTTTTTTACACTATGAAACATTTTCTTAAAGTAAAATAATCAATCTTTAAATATATTCCATAACTAATAGATGTTCTCTCATTAATTGAAGATTAAATTTACATATTTTTTTTTAATATGTAATGAAACATTGTTATAATATCAAATTAATATTGGATGATGAATAGTGTAAAACCAGGTTAACGATAAAAATAATAATAAAAATGTGCTCCATATTTGCAAGAATGCAGACCAGAAATTCTGGACCTGTTGCACACGACCCGATGCTTGCTTGCCCTATGACAAAGCGACCGTGATCTTTTACACAGCACTTACCACAATAGGCCTTCGTGCATGTCGTCTTCATTTTTATTCAAAAATTGTATACCGTCAGCACACATTGTGTCCCGTAAACGCAACGAATCATACAATGCATACATTCGACGACAAACCTACGAAATCCTATAGATTTATAGTCATAATATAAGTTTAGAAAACGGTAGGCAAAAACAATAGTTGATTTATCTTCTGTTACTAATTTGTTATTTCAATTTTATTTGCATTTATATAGATTTTTATTTCAATTGATATATCTATACTTTAACTGACTTGAAGATTGTCACTAACTATATATTCCAGATATCTTAATGAGATGTAACCTTAATATATGAGAGAGTTTCCGAAATTGGACCGGTGCCTTGGTTGGACTACTATCGTTACAGTGTATCAGCAATCTGCACAGTCTATTGTCTGAATTAAGATATTAAAGCACTTTACAACACTGAAATTCAACCTTCCTTGGAAACCAGTTGCTTTGATTGGATCGATTTTACAAAAAATATTTTTTTCTATATATTTTCTAAATATTCATGTGATAGAAATCTATTAACCCTTGATAATTCTAAATTTCTCTGATATTGATCACCATCACTACCATAGTTTGTATCATATTTACATAGGAAATGACATAGTTATTCTTCATAGTTGACAAAGTTTCTTCAAAATTTTTAATTTTACTGTTATTGGTCACCATGACTACCATAGCTTCATTCGTTTGTACTTGCTCTTACGAATTAAATAAAATATATCAGTTTTATTGGTAACCATGACTACCATATTTTGAATCATATGTACTTGGTATAAATACAACATCCTAAGAACCTTTCGAAGTTTACTATTGCTCATCCGATTTGTCAAAAATATAGTGTACTTGTATAAATACAAGTACTTGACCAAATTATTTATTCTACTGATATTGGTCACCAAACCTACCAGTTTCTTTCGCATATACTAGATGATATGATGTATTTGCATAAATACAAGCACTTGATCAAGTTTTCAAGTTTACTGTTGTTCTTCCGATTTAACTTTGATTGGAACGATTTTTCAAAAAATATTTGTTTATACATATTTTCTAAATATTCATGTGATACAAATCTATTAACCCTTGATAATTCTAAATTTCTCTGATATTGATCACCATGACTACCATAGTTTGTATCATATGTACTTGGTATAAATACAACATCCTAAGAACCTTTCGAAGTTTACTATAGCTCATCCGATTTGTCAAAAATATAGTGTACTTGTATAAGTACAAATACTTGACCAAATTATTTATTCTACTGATATTGGTCACCAAACCTACCAGTTTATTTCGCATATACTAGATGATATGATGTATTTGTATAAATACAAGTACTTGACCAAGTTTCTTGATAATTTTTAATTACACTATTATTTTTTATTATTGATACTTGTATTCTGATCATCAAACAGATGTAGTATTTGTATGAATACAAGTAGTTGACCAAATTATCAAAACTGTGTACTTTACGAGTAGCTTAAAAAGATTAACCAGATTTATAAAATTAAATTGTTGTAATAACTCGATAAGTTCATTAATACACTTTAAATCAATTTACGTATATTTCAGGTGCTTTCAGGCATTACCAGAATATATAAATTGGTATAACGAGGGTTGACAGTAAACTTAAACCTGTTATAGAGTATGCGGAAAGTCCGTTAACAATTCCATTAGTATCGGTTTCGATCCCAGAGGAAGTGGCCAATAAATTGTACCGGTATCGTACGATTCGTGCTCGATTTTAAATCATCGCTAATTTTTCAATCCCATTACGTTCGTACGTCGATCGTCGGGAATCAGAAGGCAGCGTTCGCTTCGAGCGAGCTATTATTAATTGGTGGGTGGCAGTTAGTGAGTTAGTTAGTTACCTGTAACGAGGTTAGCATGATGGAACTGGCAGACGGCGTCCGCCTCGTTCCACGAGATGCGGTCCCGGAAGTAGCGGTAGAAAACCGGAAATCCCTCCTCCGGCAACATCCACGTATTGCTGATGTTAACCTGAAACAACAACGAATTCCAAGCTTGAATAAACATTAGAACTTAAGTTACCTGAAAACGCATGCACACTAATTTAATAATGGTTTGAACAAAACTGTCGAATTATCAAAACGACAAATTCAAAGAAATAAATTTATAAATAAAATTATCTTAGATACGTATACACTCGCCAGTTCACAAAATCTTAAAGATTTCTAATCTTAATATAGTGGAAAGTTGCCTAAATTGAACCATCAAATTTAGAGGAAAAGTAATAATAATAAAAAGCTTCGATCTATAGAAAGATAAATTCTGTATAGTAAAATCATCAAATTTTGAAAAATTTAGTTGCCTTGAATAGTCCGAATATATTATTTAAATTTTAAGTATTTTTTGTTATTTTATAGATTTCTAGAGTATCAATTAAGGAAAGTTAATGAAGTTGTTAAGATTATTAAAAGTAAATACAAATAAATTGTACGTCTTATATTAATACTAACAGTTTCTTTTTAAAAGCAAGTATATAAATTCTAACATTTATAAAAATAAAACAATGAGAGATTTAAAACTTTTGATTGCAAAACATTTCTCAACGCTGTTATTGTTTACTGGGTTGGCTTCGGGGGATTCGATTGATCGGCATTGTTGCGGCATTATTTATCGGTTGCGCGGCGAGACAGCGAAATGTAATTAAAAGTTAGGAGCCAGGAAGAAACGTGTAATTAATTGCAGCAGAATCAATTAAAAACTTCGATGTCGTTTTAATTGAAAAAGGCCTCGAGAAATCCGCAAATATTAATTGATTACAAATAAATAATTTCCACTTTGTCGTCGTGGGATTATTGCGTGTGCTCGATCAGAAAAAGGAAGGAAACTTTTCAAACACCATTTCATTGCCTCACATTTGTTATTGGATTGCCCTCAATGAAACAACATAATTAATTACTTTCCCTAAGTGCTTCCAAATTGATTGAGTAATCTAGTTTTTTTTTGTGTTTGTATATATACATCTATGATACGAAAATCAAATTGGTAATTGACAAGTTCTTTTTTTCATCAAGTATATTTCGGATATCAGCTATTCTTTAATGTTTATCAAGTATTTAGAAAAGCAGTTTGAGGTATATAGTATTGTATTCATCTAGTAGCATGTGTTTAATATATGTACTTGTAATGCAAGAAGTCTTCATAATTGCTATAGCAGTATCACTTATTATATTCGAGTTATAAGGTTTCCATGACTACCATAACTAATTACGAAAATTGTATCCTTCTACAAACATATGCTTAGTATATGTACAAGTACTTGCAATGTACGAAGTCTACATAATTGCTATAATCAGTTTCAAATTACTAAGTATTTCTACAAGTAATTATAATGTTACAATAATAGCTTATTTCGAACAATGTATCCATCCACTAATACTTATTGAATATTTGTTAATATACTTATGTTGTACATAATCTTCAGGACTACAACAACTTGTTTTGAAAATTGTATCCTTACATGAATACTTTCCAAGTATCTTTACATGTACTTATAATACGAGAAACATTCATGATTATTATAGCCAATTTCTAAAACTTTATCCTTCCAGTTTTCAAAGTGTTTATACTATGTTTCTTTCGAAAAATATAATTAAACATTAAATTAAGTAGTAATTTTCATCTACGTTTTAAATTATGATCAAATGCATACGAAAAATGAAAAGTTCCGCCTCATCAAAAACTATTTCAATATCTCTCCATTCCAATTCCGTCTACTGCCGACGATAAAACTTCATCATCTAAACTCTCCGTGAGTGTAATTATATGAATATATTTGCATAACGACGGAAGAGGTGTCTCAGTAATGAGGATGAAAAAGCGTTTTATCTTTCGCTTCATTTTTTTACTCTCTCGTAAATTTCCCTTTGCTATGTCATAAGAATCAAAGTAATGAAATATATAATTTAATAAGCAATTGTTATAAATTCTATATGGAAAATGATTTACTTTTTATGTGCAGAAATTTCATACAAAAATCTCACTTGAAATTATCAATTTTTAGTAGTTTACAATGAAATATAAATATTATAGTTACAACTAAATAAACTTATTAAAAACAGAAATTATTTAACTATAATATAGAAAAAGTATTGATTATAGATATAATGTTTAAGCTTTAAAAAATCTAAATGAATCTAATGTGAAAATAGAGTAAATCTAATTTATTTATTTTTTATATTGTATAATTATAATCTTTATATTTGTACTTAAAACAATGAAAACAATAAAATCATAATCTTATAATTAAATCCATATTTTTGGACCATAAAATGAACTTTCTTCATAGAAAAAATGGATAGTAAATGATTTTTTTTTTGTGTTGAGAGTCTAAAATGTTTAAGTATCCGTGTATTTCTTCAAATATTTAATATCTTCAATTAAACGATACTTTAAATGCATCAAACATCAGAAAATATTTAGTGTTAAGTGTTGTAATTATTTTATTGAAATAACAAACAAATTTCTGTCATATTTGTAAGTTATTACATTATTCTTTTAAATGGATTGTAATCAACCATGTAAAATTCGTGTACCAATTATTATGTGCATCGAGCGTTTCGGTGCGTTTGCAAATGATTTTAACAAAAACAATAATGGACTGGAAACCAATAAAGGCAATGAAACGGAAATTTGTTAGGTTGATTAAATTTTGTCGCGTCGCAGTATTAATTATTTCATGTGAGGGTGTCCGCTCTTCGCACATCAAATTTCTCCATCCTCCCACGCACATTCCATCCCTTATTATCACACTATCTGCATCCATCCCTCTCGTGCGCGCATACAGATATCCTCTCTGCAAAGATAATTTATCACCCCGCATATATTACATCTGACAATTTACATTTATAATCGCGAATTCAGTGAGCAGATATCCCTGGTTATTATTTGCCCGTGGCTCCGATACAAGATCCGACGGGTTACGTAACTCCGACTATCGTCAGATGGAGGTAACCTACTGATACCAACCCTGTTTGCACGTGCATCACATGCCTAATTATGTTATTATCTAATCGAACGAATGGCGCAACGTTGCAACATCACAATTACACGACGCATTATATATGCATCTGGTAATTAATGCGATTCAGATCATCCCGTAATTACATATACATATTATATAATTATATGCATTTTCGTGCAAGTTATTGAGAACAATTTTATAATAACATTAAGAAGCAATGAATTTACTTGTTGAACTTTGTTATTGATTTAATAGTTATATAATAAAACTATAAGAAAAGAACGCTTATTTTGTGACCTGCTTCCAAAACTAAGTTATATGTTCTTTAATTTCAAAGTTATTTCATCATACATATTTGATTTGATACAGATTTAAAGGGAGATCTTTTACAGAATTTAAGCATTAGTTCACATTTAGATTGGTTCTTCGAGGCTACAAGAATAGTGATTGTGAAAGGATAAGAGTTTTTCTTACGGAGCAAGGAGATCTGGAGAGTTTTGACTCTTCTTGATGCATTTAACATTAAAAAAATGTTGTGATTCATACTTTCTACATGTTAGTCACCATCTCACTTTGAATATTAGGTAAGGAAACACACTGAAGCGACTGATTGTGATTATGTAATTCCTTAATCTTAAGTTTGTCTTTTCAAACCAAAGATCTATACTGACAGTAGGGTTATTTTTGAAGTAATTGATGCCCTTAGTTTGACCTAGAGTTTCATAATGGGGCTATCATTCAGTGAGGATGAAACGTGTCAATTTGTCCCAAAAGTCCATAGAATTTTGATTTGACTGAGACAATTCATGTTCTTGTATAGCAAAATTGTCTGCCTCTTCATTAATGTGTATTCCAGCATTAGTTGACGGAAATATTTCTTATGTGAAGATCTGCATACATTTTTTATTTATTTTGATGGCCCAAAAGTTCAATCGAAACTAGTAATTAATAAAAATCAAAGAATTAGGGAGATTACACTTTGGTCAGATTTATTTCTTTTATGACTTGCATGGAATTTGTGTTTCTTTTACATTTTGGCCATTTCATTATTATTATAAATAAAAGAATTATAATTTAAAATCATTAAATTTGCTATATTTTAATCAACTTTAAATGATTGCATAGGAAACTGGAGTATAAATGACGAAATTAGCATTGAAAGTTTCTAATTGACTTTGCAGTCTCCAAAAAAAAAGAAGTAGAGAGCGAGAATGAAGGGCTTGAAGCTCGTTTGCGAAAATATACTTCTCAAGTTATTTTTCTTCGTTTCGTCCTGTCTCTCGCGTATGTAAATGATGTTCCAGATTTGAACCGAAGTTTGCCTGCTCCTAGATACAGGCGCAATTTCGAAAAGTTTTCCAAACTCTCGTAACTATTACGGCGCACTTATATCATATGAAATATTCATTAAAGAGACGCTTTTTGCCGGATGACTCTCATACATATACGCAGACACCGAATTATTATTATACCTCATTGACCTTTCCTGCTGCAACCAAGAATCTAGTTCCTTCATCGACATCAAAAGAAACTTTTCGTGCACATCTCGTGACTCGACTCGAAATAATCACATTACGAAGTTGTGTGTGTGTGTTTGAGTGAGTAAAAGTGAGTAAAGTTAGTCCAGTTGATGCAATGAAATAGCTTCAGTGGCGTATCCATTGCATTGGTAGCAAATTGCTTGATATATTTAACCGTGTCGGACATAATTGGAGCATATAGGATTATTCATTATCCCGAGCAAATATTTACTTAATCAAAAGCACCTGCATCCCATCCCCAACTGCTCTGTTATCCCTCCCTTCCTCACGACTCCGGCTCTGATTCTCGCCGACGCTTAATTACTTTCCAAAACCCGACACCGCTTTCTCTGCTCTTCACTGAACTCCACCATCTCGATCCATGATGTAATTTATTTGGTGTACCATCGGCTTCACCTTTTTGCACGTGCCATCCATTAAACTCTCGCAAAGGATACTAATCATAAAAGCCATACAAGAATTATCCAATT